AGATAATACTAAGCCATCCATTTAGAAGTCATGCTTTTATTTTTCTTATTTTTAAAACATATATGTTAAAGGACATAAGTTTTGATTAGCCAAGCAGGGTCCAACAGGTCTTTTTCATTAAATTTTACCCCTCACAGTTTTCACGAATACCCATCATTACATATAACATTAACTCTCTTTTTGTCATTCTTTTTAAACTCGACATTATACCTATTTTTCCTCTCATACTACTTTATGGCTTCTGTCAACACCTTCTTATTAGCAAATAACATTCCTTTCTATAACTTTGGATTTGACATATTTGTTTCACTATTGAATTTTGGCCATCTACTAACACCCTCAGAATTAGATTCATACTCAATGTGCAAAGAATCTAATTTTTTATATCCAAATCTATCTTTGCCTTCAACACTTACTCCTCAAACTTCAACTCCTAACCCATCATCCACTCCAACACTAGTTCCATTACCTTGACCCAAATCACTTTCAACACCTAAATTAATATTAACTTCAAATTTATGATCATCATCCATATCATAATCAATCTCATTAAAATCAAAATTAAAACTATCACTATCATCTTCATGTTCGTTGAATAAAACTTCATCTTCTTCTAAATTAGAACTAACACCTTCATGACTTGCTTTTACTTTACTTTAGTTTCAGTTTCTCTTTTAATGTATGAAACAACTTCCACGTGTGATTTTTTTTCTCAACTATCTACCATCAAATTTACCATTACATTACATCTAACAATAACAGACCTTCCTCCAAATAAATATAAATGTAATGATTTTTAACGATGCAAACAATCATATTCACAACATTAAAATCTATTATAAGAGGCATAACATTATTAATACAAAGTGTCCATCCAAGCATTTTTGAATAACATCTAATTAAGCTTACATAACCTAACTTTCCAATCTTATCATTTATTTCAATCATGGACATAGCTTCTGCATGGCATAAATCAAAATAATCAAGCCTCTTTCTATTATACTTCATAATAGGAGTATACTCAAATTTACCACTATAATGAACAACAGTTGAAAAGTAGTCTAAATTAGGCTCTAAAAGAATTATCGAATTTCAAAACATTAATTAAAAAAGCTAATTTGATTTAGGCATAAAGTACATAACTAATCTATATCTAATAATGTTAAAATAATATGTAATATACTAATAGCCTTAACTTTGGTTAACATATCTAGTCTACTTCTAAGCGACAAGATAAGTTGAGACTTAGGAAATAAAGAGTAGACACTAGTCTAATCCTTTAAATTCTAACATTAAATCTTTAACATATTCATTAATCAAGTGACAACTTCAAGATCTAAATCTATGAGATATTTGGTCATTTATATATATTAAGTTCCAGCCAAAAGTCATGCAGTAGCCTAGTCATCAATATCAATGTGTTCCCTTATTTGGATCTTTAGAATTGGTTCATTTTCACATCTAAATTATGATATTAATGTATAAAAGATTGTAATATATACAGAAAATGTAGACAACACTTTATTAAAAAATAAAAAACCATTCAAACTCAATCTATATCATCACAACTAATTACTCAATTAAATAATTTTCACTATATGACAATTCAATACACATACCTCAAAATACAATCAAACCTAAACATGGCTTCAGATGCCTCAAAAAGTATTCAAAATCAAATATGGCTTCACATGCCTCCACAATACAAGACAAGCTGACAAAAATGACTCAAAACACTAAATAGAACATAAGCATTAAAAAATGACTCATCACACCCAACACCACACAAAACATAATAAAAACCTATCTGCAACAACCATATTAAATACTCAAAATTAAACTAGTCCATTCAAATTACTCCATTTAGTAGTAGGCAAAAATGAATATATATATATATATATTAAACACCTACCATATATAAGCATAGCATCCCTTCTCAATCGAAGCTTCTTTCTGTCCATTACTTACCAAAGCCTAAACAAACATGAACACCAAAATCTAATTTCACCTTACACTACTTTAAAAAATACAAGATCAAATCCTATTTCAACCCCACTTTAAACACAACAATATTGTAATCCCTAGCTTTTAATTTTTCTCAAATCATAACTTTTGCAACCTTAAACCCCAAAGTACAGTCGTTTCTCTCTAAATTGCAATCCTAAACCCCAAATCACAGTCACTTCTGTCTAAATCACAATCTTAAACCTAAACATCCTCCCTAAACAACGAATATCCTACAAACCATATTCATTTTAGAAATCCCAAACCTTTAACTTTGTTTTAACATAATCTGACTCTATAACTCTAGAAATTTTAGCTTACATAGAATTCTAGTAATGCCATTTGGGTTATTTTCAATTATGTGGATGCCATCTAAGTTATTTTATGTGTCATATCATCAAACTTTAAATTTTTGTAATGCTAAGTCATACAATTGTTATTGTTTAACATCCCAATGACTAAAAGAAACACTAATTCAAACATTAGAGACCAAAACGAAAAAATAAAATACTTTAGTAACTATTTAAAAAAAACCAAAAGTTTAATGACTATTGATGTATTTTATCCTAAAGAAAATAATACTATTCTGTTGACCAACTAACATAAGTTCTTAACTCTATAACTGTGTGCAAAGAGTTGACATTTATGAAAAAACAACATTGAAAATTATCGAAAATCAAATGATCAAAGAAGGAAAAACTTTTACAGTATGTGTGGTAGGAAGGAAATAAGATAATGGAAGAAAAATAATGGTTTTTTCTCTTTTGTTTGGTAGGACGGAAATAATAGAAGAAAGAAAAATAGCTTTCCTTTCTCTTCATTTTTTTATTCCTTACCTTTTTATTTTTTTTCTTTTCTATCAAATATATAGATAGTATTTTGTATCATTTTCAAAACCATCATGATAATTAATCACCGAAGTGATTTTTTACTAAGGTGAACTTATCACTCGTGATTTTAAATTATATTTTTTTTAATTAACAATCATCAATTCTTAAGAATTAAAGAACATTGTATTTGATTTTATTAAAAATCAAACATCACTTTTGTTGAAAATACTAAAATAATCGTGCATATTATAATAGTTGTACAGGTTAATAATATCAATATTATTTAAAGTTAATAACTTATAAAATATTACTATTATTTTATTTATTTTATAATAAAATATAATTAAATTATTAAATTAATAAATATACTTATTGATAGGTAAATAATTTTTTTTAATATAAATTATGTAAAAAATATTTGAATTAGAAAATAAAATTAATCTTTTAAAATCATAATAAAAGAGAAATCAAAATATTATATTTATATAAAAAAAATTACAAAAATTAAAAAAAAAGCATATATATTATTTTTTTAACTTATTACAATGAATATTAATTTGCAAATATAAAAATTTATAATATAAAATAATAAATTTTAAAAGAAAGTAAATTTTTAATTCACATATTAATTGGACAATATTAACTACTACTAATTTTACATATCATTTCATTTAGATGTTAAAATTTTTCTCTTTTTTTTGAATGGAATTAGATCTTCTTCCATAGTAGTAATCTATTCACTCTTGATGATTCAAGATCACTATCACGTATGATGATCAAGTACTTACCAAACTCGATAATCTAATCACCATGTGTATATCAACATAATTTTTGAGATAATCACCTCATACCAAACATTAGCATATAATATTAGTTTCTGTGTTCCCCTACTAATGTTCTAGCAATTAAAGATGGAACTAAAATATGACCTAGAGGTATTCATAGATCAAGCTTCAATTTGGCCTACACTTTTTAATTAAACTGATGCTCGAGTTTGATTCAATCAGATCATTTAAATGTTATTTTATTATTACATTTTTCTATTAAGTATATATAAATTATTCATTTGATATTTATACATTTTTTAACTTTACTTAATACATGTTGTTTATATATATATATATATATATATATATATGTATGTATATATAAGCCATTATAAAAATATGGTGCTTAGTTTTACACCTCTTCATATTTTAAGAGAAATTATTAAATATACTGATAGTAAAATTTTTTTAACTTCTCAAGTAGAGTTAAGATGATGATCATGTCCCTTAGTGTATATTTAAAAAATAAAAAATAAAATTAAAATAGAAATGAAACGTGTCACAAATTTAACCCCATTTGTAGAGTTAAAAATTTTCATTAATAATATATCAAATAATTTCTAATGTTCTAATTAATGTAACTTTTACTTTTATATAATATATATATGTATTCAAATTAATTAAAAGTACATAACTATTTTTAATAAGATAAAAATTTCAACCATTAAATATATATTGCATTAAATATATATTGCAAAATGGGATATTCTCATTCAATATCATATAAATTTCATATTGGCATCAAAAAGTATGTACATGATAAGCATTATGGTTTTTACATAAAGCTTAAAAAATCTTACAATCTTAAGATTTTAAATTTAAATTTTGTACGTGAACTTAGTTTAATTTTATGACCGAATTAGGTATTTGATTTATTTGTTTAATAATTTAACAATTTTTTATATATAGATGTACTCCTTACGATTGTAATTTCTTTTATAAATGTAATTTTTAAAAAATTATTAATATTTAATGTAATGTTGATCCCTCCATGTATCCTTCTCATATATAAATATAAATATAACTACTTATATATATTAATAAATGAATGAATTAAGAACTGGAATAATTTTGTAGAAAAGAAATACAAGTTCTCGATAAAAAAATAATAATAATAATAAGTAACTACTCAAAAAGCAGCTCTGACAAAGGTAGTTGAAGGGGAACACCAAGATTAGAAATAAATTACAAGGCCCTAGATATATTTTTCAAATAAAAAAAAAAAAAAACTATAAATTAATCTAAGGATCAATAATATATATATATATATATATATGAAAGTGTTTGTCATTTAAGAAAATACTAGTGGATGACCTGTTGGCTAAGAAAATTTAAATATATATATAAGCTGACAAGTCAAACCTCACCATCCCCATTTTCTTATCCCTTTGGATAAAATAAGACTACCAATAATATTCCTCAACCTAAAGTTCAGATGAAAATCAAGGCACACAAGAAGCAGAATCTGTTAAATCTCTTAAATTCATTAAGTCTTACTGCTGCCAGGAGTTATCAACTCATAACAATATACGCCACCAAGTTTCCATTCCACAGGTATACAGAAGAAATCATCAAATATAAGAAAAACAAAAACCTAGAAAACTCTTGGACTCCAAGCTAAAGCCTACCTTTGCATCCGGCAAAACCCAAAACCCTCATAGAAGTACCACCAAATTAACCAATGGCTACAGCAATAGTTTTTACCCAACACAAAGGAGAAAGACAACAAAAACATGAGGAATTCACATTCCTGGTTTGCGCAATTCTTCTGCTCCATGCGCAAAATGGCACCTGTCACCAAACGTGCAGGATCCTTTGGAAAAGTTCTCACACAGCTTCGTCTTAAAGTTGTTTGCTGAACCAGAGCCACTCATAGCAGGATTCTTCATGCTAGTTCCAGAGGCTGAACCAACATTTAAAATAAGTTCACGAACCATCGCACTGGCTTGTTTGATCTGATCAAATGTTCCCTCCAGCTCAATATTCCTTGAACTAGGATCTGATTCATTCTCCCTTATAGACAGCTTGGCTCCTGTGACACGACAAATATGCTTTGAGTTCACACCATTTTTACCGATAATAGCTCCTGCAAGGGATGCATCAATGCTGATCTTGGCAGTGGCAGATGCTCCAAAGCTGGCTGCAGCACCAAGACCTTGTGAGGTAGGCTCCATTCTGCCAACCATCCTTCCTGGCATTGATCCCATGGCACGAGGATCTTCATAAGCAGGACCAGTTGGCTTGCCAAGCTCCCACTCACCATGTGCAAAATGGCATTTATCACCAAACTTGCAACCTTCAGGGGTGTTGAATTTGTTGCACAAGCGGGTTTTCACAGCTGGAGGAGATGAGCCGTCAGGGAAGGATGGTGGAACTACTGAACTTCTGGCAGCTGCAGGGATAGTTGGGTTGCTACCCAACATCTGAGATACTGCTTTGATGCCACCGGGAACATAGTGCAAAAAGTGACAGCTCTCACCAAATGGGCACCCTGAAGTGCTGTAAAATAAACGAAACTTGAGTATATCAGCTAATATCAACAAAATACACTTCAACTAATGCTATAATACAAGTACCAGTTCAGTCTAATATAATTATGAATTTATCAAAGCTCTTCAAGCATACACCAGCTCATACAATACCAGGAAATAACTATAAGTGCTTCTGCATGTAACATCTAGGAATCGCACACAATAGTAATTTTCTGTATTAGTACATCATTGATTAACAAGCACCAAGAACATGACACAACCCTTCATTATCGTCCAGAACCAAGCAAATCAACAATCATATCTCCACAAAGCTGCTTTTTAAAAATATATTTTTTCAAAAAATATATCATACTTTTAGACACTTCAATCTAGCGGTTAATTCCTCTCGTTTAATAAGTTCTAACACTGATGAGATGAGCTGAGCAAAGATGAGATGAGAAAGGAAAATATTCAAGACCAAGCTTAACACAGATTAAGCTGCCACTAGACAAAACCTGACTATTTTAACATATATATTCATCTTCAAATAAAGAATTGAAAGATCTAATAGCAAGACTCAAGAGAAAGAATGCAAGACATTCCCTTAGTGAATTAATCAATCGGAATTTATGTCCAACCATTTCAACCCAATGTATAAAAACAGAAAGTTTCAATCACCTAAAATATTTGAACACATTAGGCAAAATTAAGTTGTCATCACTTACATTTTACCTAGCAAACATGCCAGCAAAGTAGTCAGGATAGAAAATTCCATCTCAAATATTCAAATCTCTAAATTTCTTTTTATATGATAAGCTTAAAACAAATAAACAAACAAATCAACATATAATTGCCAAGAAAATGAATCAGAACTGTTCACAAAATTCAAAAGAAAGGGGCTTCTAACTCACACAAATTGTCATACAGCCCTTATTTAATAGTGGATCCAAAATAAATGAGAAAGAAGCCAAATGTCGCATATAAACAACTATGCTAATTGAAAATGTATGCAACAGAAATCTCCCTTATTTAATAGTGGATCCAAAATAAATGAGATAGAAGCCAAATGTAGCATACAAACAACTATGCTAATTGAAAATGTATGCAACAGAAATCTCCAAACTTTCTGACACATAATCACCATAGCACATATCCAAACCACATTATCCAACTTTCCTTCGATAAGTCCTAGAAATGTACTAGCTCAAGTGTTTCAGAACAGCATTCTTTCCTTATCATACCCTCTATTCTTTATTTATTTGCCTTTTTCTCCCTCCCAACGCACAATGGTTTATAATCTTATCTATTCTGGCCCACAAATATCTTAATTTCAGCTGTAACAATTTAAATAAAAGTTCTTACACTTCCATTCATCTAATAAGCAAAAGCAGTAATATACTAAGCCCTCTGATGAAAGTAATCAAGTAATCATCACTCACCAGATTGAACCCATCCTAGAATCAATTCTTTCCTCTCCTACTCCATCTCTCACCTCAAGAATAACAGAGCAAACATAATAGTCAATCTTAGAAAACCTTCCTACAATCTAATCTTTTTCCTCCAGCACTTTGTCTTTATATGATTACACTAATATGTTCATCGAAGATATTGCAGAACTCCTTGACCTTGATACAACATATTGTCTTTTCTAATAATATGGTTGCAATCCATGATATACATATTATCTTAACCAGAATTAAAATAGAACTCATATCAATCAAGCCACTCATCACATAATCTTTCCAATTGTATAAAATCTTATCACCAATTAGCCATATTTTACAAGAACCCTTTTCAATAATGGCATTCTCAATTCCAGATAGCACTACTGTAGAATTCATACCAAGCACCTCCCCAAGCACAGTAAAGATCATATTAATAACTCTCCTCTCTGTAAACCTAAAAATATCAGATACCCCAGTTTGAGTACTTTTTTTACTTTAGCATAAAGATCAAATCAATATTGGTATCCTTAAGCATTGCCAATTCCCTACAGTCAGGAAAAATGTTATTCTGTATCCTACTCGTAGCTGTCATTTCTCAAGTACCTTCATATAATAATAATTACTAAATATCAGCTTCTATCACTAGATAAATCATCACTAAACTGTTTGACTCAGACAACAAAAATGCTCATAACTAACATTACTTCTAGTGGAGAAACAAACCGATGCCATCAATTGTAATAGCAACAGTTATAAAAATTATAACAATAATAATACCATTACAAGATAATATCCTCAAATTTTATGAGGTAGACTTTCTCCAATTCACTCAACATTTCATTAATTGAACTGGTTACAAACTTCAATGATGTATGTGAGAAATTTTCAACCAAAAGATACTTCATTGCCTAGGAAAATGCAGTATGCATTCTTTCTTTCCCCCAAGAGAAAGATAAAAATCTATTCACAAATCAAATAAATGCAAACAAAACCAAGCTAATATCTTCACACAGTCTCCAATTTTATGTACAAAAAAGGGAATCCAGCTACCTTCCATTACCACGCCATAAAACTTTAATCACCATTCAATTCATAGGTATGACTTCCACAATTCATGTGTGGGTCCTACACATGTAAATGATTGTGATGCGTGTACAAAAAAAGTGATGGAAAGAAGTCCAATCCCAAAACACTTTTATAGAGGATATAAGAGAGAATGAAGAAGACTCTACTGGTCAAGAAAAGACATGAATTGCCTTAGAAAACACACACACGCACACACACACAAAAAGCCAATTGAACCTGGAAGCGATGAAGCTCTCTCTCGATTTTACAAGAGACAAAACAAAGAGAAGGTGTTTTCATAACTCAACAGAGTGAGACCAGAAATTGCAAAAAAAAAACCTTAGATCTTTAACCTTCCAAAGCAAATTTTACTGAACAAGATATTTCGACATAGACAAGAATGCAACCAATGAATAAAGGCACTAGATAAACATGCTACTTGACTAGCAAACAACATCCAAAAAGTTTTATAAAAATCTAGAGCTTATTTTTTAAAAGAGAAACAAATCAAGATCAGAAAACAATACTAATAACATAAAACAAAATTCTATCAATGCATGAATTATGAATCAAATAAATGAAAAAATAATCAAAATTAAACAATCTCCAAAAGAAATTTAATAGCAAACTTTCTCAACTTTTTCCTTTCTTCTTCAACAAGACAATCCTCAAAAATTATATGCCAATTAAATAAAAGAAAGTAAGAAACCTTTTCTCAAATAATGAATTGAGGGACAACCTTCAAATATTTAATTAAAAATACCATTATCAACTTCATGAAATACCTGATTATGTTAAATATACTGTTTAAAATTTAATATGGCCATAATTTAGCATTAGAATAAAGAGCCCTGAAATGCAACAGGGAAAGATACATTGTAGGGATAATTTAGGCTTATATCTTCAGCCATTCTATTTCCATTATCTACGAAAATAGACTACCCCATACGGCAACTCCTGGTACTCACTCAATGGTCCACATGTTACTGCATTTAATTGAAATGATTACAGTACACTATAAGATAGAAAAGTTTTGCTTCCTGCATGGTTGCTTTCTGTTTACATATAGGCCAGCATGTAGTTAATCCAAGAATTCACCAAGAAATCAACCAATTCTGTTCCATAGTCTTTCTTATCATGATTAGAGCCAAGAGTATTACCTGTATCACCACTTTAAGTTACCAATTCATTAGTCATAATCACATAAATTTTGCTTCAGAAGGTTGTTGTCTAAGAAAATTTTACTAGAAAATTATAAAAATTAGAAACAGATGGTAGTGCATTAGGCTATTTATTTTAGATAGGTTAAGATTTGAACCTGAAAAACTTTGTGCATGGCTTCGATTTGCTTCCTATACCAGTTGGAAAGGACTCCATTTCTGTTGCAGAACATTAATTAATTTATCTCAGTTACAATTTCAGTGATTTATTGATGTTTGAACTTTACAAAGTATTCATTACCATGTTACCATTTCTTAACACTACCATAAAAAGAAAATATGCGCTTTATAAATTATGAATAATTGGTTTACATCATTTTTATAGAATATAACCATCAATATTACTAAAAAAATTGCATGGTGAGCTGACAATTTGGTAACTAAGTCCAGCAAAAGATTTGTAAAAATGTTCTGTCCATTAGAGAAATACCCTGTTTCCTTCAAGAAAATGAGGAAAGAAAGAATGAAAGAAATGTATAATTAAACATCATTTTTTCTTTTTTTGGTTCCCAAAAAAAAATCAACAAATCAACTATGTGATTTTGAAAGTAAGTTGAGCTTCCTATTTTCCCAGGAACTAAGTTTCAGATAATTAAAAAAAAAATAGATTTCTTTTGTTTTTCCTTTTCAACGATTTTCTTGATGGGAAATCAGATTTAAGGCAAATATCTATTTGCTCCACATAGCAATTCCAAACTTCTACAAGAATCACCATAAAAGAGAATTTTTCCAAATTTTCACATACAAAGATATAAATGACAAATCAAGACTCATAACAATTGCAACAATACAATATATACAAATATAACACTGGTGTCACAAACAAAGTAAGACATCATTGATAATCGTGCAAGAAAAGCTTATAACCAGAATGGAACAAGGATCAATGGACTAAACATTCAATCTTTCACCCACATAATCAAAGGATACAGGAACAAGAGAAGAAGTAAAAAATCCATCACCATCACTAATATCAACTCTGCTCTAACAACCCAAAGACGCTAAATATCATCAACAAAACACATGAATGACCACATGAAAAATTTAAACACGCTGCTGTTTAAGCTCTGCGACCCAAACTAGGTGAAATAACACACACACACACAAGCATATTTTGGATGACACCCTACACAATAGCAATGGATTCAAAAAGTCCACAAGTGGGTTTAACTAGTTGCCACATGTCCATTTACAGAAAGTAAACATAAATCATTAAGCTTACATATATTGTTAAATGGAAACGTGACAATCAATTAAACCCATTTGTGGAGCATTTAAACTCCATGCTCAAAGCAATAAGTAATCACATAAAACTATAAAAAGAGTTTAATTGTTTACCACATGTCAGGTAATTGTGTCACCTTAATACTTTAACATTGATTTCTAAAACTCCATGTTGCATGCATATTTAGCTTCTTGTAGAGTTCTAAAACTCCACAGTTGTGTGTTTGTGATTGATTGTCACAAATTAAGCAAAATCTTAACTCAATATGTTCAACTTTTTCTTTTCCTTTTTATAAAGCATCTTTTTTTTCCCTTTCCAAAAACTTCTACGGTTAAATTAAACTGGAGTATAAATCATTCAATTTTATACTCATCTTTATAAATATCCAGCAAAATGTTTATATCCATTTACTAAAACAAAATCTAATATTCAAATCTCCATTAGTCATTTCGTAGCACCCAAACACTCTTAAACTACACAAATTCGAAGCTTTCCACTTTCTCAGTGCCTCAAGAAAGAAAGACACAAAAGAAAAAGACAAGAAAAGCTCTTCAAACCCTAGAAACCACCATTTCATCACAAATATACCGCAAACAAACTCATATAAGCATAAATGTAAACAAATAAATATACATATATATATATATATATTAAAAGCAGCATAAAATTCGCACCTTGCTTGGATTTCTTAAAGCCGCCATTGCCGTTCAAGGCAGACTCGGGCCTCCCTCTCTTACGTCCACCACCAAACTCCATTGGGCGAGCAACGAGATCCAAGAAGAAGAAAAGAAAATGAGTGAAAATGAGAAAAAAAAAATGGAGACCTAGAAGATAGAAAGAAAGAGAAATTAGGGTTCGAAGAAGAAGGGAAAGGGCGGAATTCAAAATTAGGTTTAAATGTGGTTGATGATGTACTGAAAATAATAATTTTTTTATTTTTTGTGGTTTTATTTATCCGAAAGGATAAAGGGCAGAAGTACTGTGGTCACGTGGAAGACTCACGTGCTGCGACTGACGTTACCGATTTCTCGACTCACGTCATTCATTTCACAAGATTTACGACGGCGTAATAAGTGGAATTCATAAAATGAAGGAAAAAAACGAATTTTGAGCGAAGAAAAACTTACTTGGCAAAAAAATAAAGCAAAGAACTTTTTATTGTTTGAGATCTCTCGTGTTGGTAGTTACTTTAGTTTCAATTATTTAAAAATTAAATTGAATCAAATTTTGTAAAAAAATAATTTTTTTAATATTTATTTTTTTATTTATAAAATTTAAAATCAAAATTTTATTTAAAAAAAATTAAACTTGTTACCACTCCACTTCAATTTGAAAATGAAATATGATAATAATTTTTATTTAATTTTAATATAAAAATATTTAAGATATTATAAGTATTAATATAAAAATATTTTAATATTTTAATAATATTTATATAATATAAATTAATTAATTAAATTAAACCTAAATTTAAGATTTAAAATTATCATCCAACTTCTACCATATTTGATTCATTAAAATAATTTTAACAAATTCATAACAAATTATATTTTAAAAATAATTTTTACCATTTCATAAAAATTAGCTATTATTCACAAAAGGATCAAAGTACTTATATTTTTACTTAATTTCACTTATTTTTCACTTTGTATAATTTTTTTCACTAATCAACTTAACTTGTAAGATGAAAACAAAGATAAATATCGAATGCATGTTAGTTTAAATAGTAAAGAATTCAATTTTTTTTTAATAAAATCTTAATTTTGAATCTTACGAATGAAAAAACTTTTTGAGAGAATTTATTTTTTTATGGGATTCAATGTAACTCAACTCTAAATTAATTAGAATTAAACATGATTATTGAATATTAAAAATTAAAAAAAAAAAGATAAAAAGGAGAAAAATATGGATCTCTTTTTACACTAAGTTAATGTAAGTTGTTTCTTCACATCCAAAACTGAAAAATATGCCATGATACAGTGAAATGAAGTGATAGTTATTTGAATTTAAAATTTAATTTAATTCATTTATATTATATTAATATTTTTAAAAAAATAATATTTAATAAATTTAATATTTAAATCTTAATATTTATAAAAAATTTATTTACTTCTTTTATATATATATATATATATATATAGTTATTAATGATGTGTTGATCTGAGTCACAAACCTCGTTTTAAGGTCTACTGCTCCTAATGTAACTTCCTCTTTTAATAAAATTGAAAATAGATTCTCAGTACTCTTTTGCACAATATTGACAGTGAAAATTTAATTGCATTGGAGGAAACTTTCTCTTCCCAATAATTAATCAAAACGGTTACCCAAAAAGAAAAAAAAAAAGAAATTAAACTAAAATGGAGTAAACCTTTAAATTATTAAACCTCGGAGAGAATGAGACACCTCAAGATATAGAATTGGTTCAACCCTAAATATTTTTATTTATGACAATGGTATTTAATATTATTTGAATTTTAGAATTTAGATTAATGCTTTTGGGAGGTACGGAAAGAAAATATATAAGAGAATAAATTTTGATTATAATTTAATTCAAACATATTTATATAAGGCAAGTAACAAAATTACTATATAAGGCAACTTAGGCCCCTTACATATTGATATTGTAATACCTAAGATTTTTCGTAAGTGGAGAAACCTCTTAATAAAGAAGCAGAAACACATAGGGATTAAGCACTAAATATCCCTTTTTTTCTTTTTTTTTTATAATGAAACAGATTGAGATAAAGCATAAACACTTACTTCCCTTCTTCCTTACAAAGAACCAAGTGGCTGTAAGACTGAAATTGAAGATCAAGAACCAAATTTGGAATGTGATTTATCTTCTAAAAGTGAGTAAAAGGTCATATTTCAATTTGTTGGAAAACTCTTTGATAATGTTGAAATTTTTAGGTTTTACCCATGAGAGAATATATAGGATTTTATAAATTCAATTTATCTTCATGGTTGCTGGTCTTAAGAGTGTTTGATTGGGTTTATTTCAGTCAATAAATTAACTTTTAAGTTGAGAAATTATCATGTGATTGCTAGAATAAGAAGTTTGAAGTTGAAGAGGAAAAACCTTGAATTTACAAAATCTTTTGATGATTTTTAAAAATCCGTCTAGGGAAGACTTGAAACCTTGATTCATTATCAATTACGAGATTATGAAGATTTATTAACTAAATTTCACTACTAGTGATCAAGGGAGAAACGAAATTACAGAAAAAGAAAAAAATTTTGTCTTAAATGAATTTGTTGTCTAAGGTAGTGGGTTTAAAGCAATATTTTGTAATCTACATGTTTTCACTATATGAATGGTACATTTTTTGAAATCCGATTGAATCTATTTTTCAAAGAGACAGAAAATATTCAATTTTTACTATAGGTTATGCATATGCTGCCTCGCATCCGCAATAAATTTGAGTTGTGAAAATTATTACTATTAAAATTACCTGCATTGTTATACTCAAAAATTGTTTATTTTATCATCTTTATTCATCATATATATTTTATATATCTAATAGAAAATAAAATATAATAGATAAAAAGCGAAAGTGATTACAAATATCGTAATTGACTTATTTTTCATTAAATTTATCTAAAAAAAATTTTAAAAAGTAAATTTTTTGGAAAATTAAAAAAAACTTTAAAAAAACTCACAAAGTGTTTTATATTGACACCCCATATTGAATTTAAAATAGTAATTTTTTAAATTAAAATAAAAATAACTTTATTAATACAATACATATATGTAATTAAATAAATAATAAAAAAATATATTTTTATATACTTCAAAATGGCTAAAGGTAAAGTATCCTAAATATGTTTTCAACCTGAGCTCTTTTTTTTTTAAAGAACTAAACCCATCTCAAGTCAATCTCTATTTTAAAAAATCTTCCCTTATCAGATGAAATGGATCGAAACTCATCGAATACTAATTGTTTTAGCATCCCTATCAATCAACACATTTCGTTGCAAAATTAATGCATTTAAAAAATAAAAAATATATATAAAAGATGAAAAAACCAAATATGGTGCGATAGCGACACTTTCATTGGATTTTTTTTACAAAATTACTTTAATAAAAAAGATGTTAGCTTTTTAGGTGAGATAATATCCAAGAAGGGGTGAATTAGATTTCTCCAAGTTCTTCCTAAACAATTATTTCAAAATAATTGAATGAGGATTAAAATAATAAGCATTTTTAATGAAAAATATAATACAAGCAATAACAATTAATGAACCTAAAATAAAATATAAACAACAACAGATATAAGAAGATAGGGATAGAGAAATCAAATACAATTATTTATAGAGGTTCAGTCTTTCTCCACAAAGCACTTACATCATCTCTTCTTGGTTATCCACACTAAAGCTTCAATCCACTAATCTTGAATTAAAAATACAACACAATCTTTTTCTTCTCTAAGGTTTAAAATAAAAACCTTACACTCTCTACTTTCTAAGTTAAGTAGCAACCTCACAATCCTATAATTTCAAGAGGATGCCTCACTTTTTGATAACAAAATCACTTAATAAAAATGTAAACTTAGAACACCTCTTAAAGGCTATGTGTTCGCCTATTGAAGTATAAAAAATTTGATAAATAAACAACAATATAGCTTGGATAAAATAAATAAAAAAAGATATGAATTTTAAGCTCTAACAACTCTTGATTCTTTAAGAGAATTAAAATACAACTTGTTAGATCTTGCTCTCTTGATGCATCAACCTTCTTGTTGTATTGGAGTAGCCAATATATAGAGAAATTGAAGAACTAGCAGTTTGGGAAGCTTGGGAGAAGAAAATAGCCATTAAAGCTAGATGAACTAGCCATTGGAGATGTTTTTAGGCAAACCCGATTGATCCTTTCCCTGAGGGGATCGATTGGTTCACGTTTTGTTGGCCATTTCATGCTTGAAAAACATGACCCGAATCATCCTTTTATGTAGATGATCGATCTTGTCAATGGGGTGATCGATCCCCTATATAGAGTGATCGATCCTTTCTTCAACCTAGAGCAAAAAGATACATTCTGGGTAAAAAACCAATCGATCCCTTCCCTGGGGGGATTGATCATGTCAAAGCTAGATGGTTGTCTTTTGTTTTGCACTATACTTACTAATTTGATCATATCTTAAGTTCTACAAACCCAAATAAAAAACCATCTAAAGAATTAGAAACTAGACTTAAAGTCTATCCATATAAAATTCATCACCTAATTCATTATGTATAAATTATAGTGAATTTTCAAAACTATCCCTTACGTAGTTTTTAGACAACTACAAAATATCTAGTAAAAATTTAAAATCTTTTCTTAAAAATTTGAATTTGAATTTTGTTTGATCCATTAGAAAGTAGACTCAAAGAACTTTCCAACCATACAAAATTCAAATATTAAAGCTTAGTGAATTAATACAAAAAAAAAACAAATTCAATGTTGAAAAATTTTGTTCTTGTAAAATAAATTTCTTAAGTTAATCTATTTCTCAAAACTAATATTATAAAAATTATATTAAGTCCAAAATGAATAAGTTCACTTTAAAAACAACAATTGGATTTTCATTTAAGCTAAATAAATAATGTTTAAAAATAGATTTGGTTTGAGAAATATGAAAACATAAAGCAATGTTTGTTTAAACTTTGAAAATCATATTATTTATTTAATATCAAAATATAGAACTTAAGAACATGTACTAAATAAAATTTTTTTCAAAATCTTAATCAAGTTTATTTAGCTTAATGTTTTGTCATTTCAAAATAAAGATCAATTCAAGGCTAACAAAAGATAAAAACATAAAAAAGGAAAAATAAAAATAAAAAATAAAAAAAGCTCATTGGGGTATTATGTGAACATTCTAATTGAGTGGGAACTTATCGAAGATAAATTATTTTATCATTCCTATTCATCAACTCCCTTTGTTTCAAAA